ACCTTCATCGTCTCTTAGAAATTTCAATGACAGTGGTAACAGCTTCAAAGTCGAGCAGGTATGTTTTTTCTGGTTGATCAGCAAAATACCAAACTTGCCGGCGACACTGGCGTTGGCCAAAAATGAATTTCCAGCAGTGTTTTGTTGGCTTACAGTAACTATGACCTTGGAGGAGTACGTTGACATTAATAATCGAAACCTTCCCATCGTTTCCCTTCTGTACCGTTGAGGAGCTAGACATAGCTTCTGTATCCAATTTGTAGATAGGAGTTCGTGAATTGGCAATGTAGGTAAAAAAATACGGACGGCCGTTTTGACATCTCAGTTAGTGATGAACCGAATTGCATCAAATTCAATATGGGCATGGCTTTGGCCATATAATACGCAATGCAATTTGACATTCATAGTGCACTTTTCACATCTTGACCATTTATGAACCCTGTTTTTAAGGTATTTAAATGAAATTTGATACTGGGCACTTGGAGTAAAAACAAATCCAGTTTCAAAATTGGTTTTTGCACATGCTATAGCCATACCCAGGAGCTCATTTGCTATATTTGTTTACACGTTTATATATTTACCATAATTCATATATAATTTAAGCTCCTTCGGCACAGTGTATGAACCAAAAGCAATTTCCCTCTAATATAAAATATATATGTAATAAAACCAAGAAACACAGGAATAACAAGGAGGGAATGAATTCTTCCAGCTTTATCAACTCGAATCATAGACCGATTATTCAGCGGGTGCGTAACACGCGGACGTCGAGCGAATCACGAAGAGAAAATGTCCTATACCGAATTTGTGTGGTTTCTATTAAGCGAAGAGGACAAAACGCATCAGACCGCAATCGAGTATTGGTTTAGGTGTATGGATGTCGATGGCGACGGCTATCTGTCGATGTACGAGCTGGAATACTTTTATGAAGAGCAAATGCATCGAATGGAATCAATCGGAATTGAAACTTTGCCTTTTCAAGTAAGCGGCACTTACGCGCACGTCTAACGCTAACGCTTGTTCTGTGTAGGATTGCTTGTGTCAAATGTTAGATATGGTGAAACCCAAAGTTCCTGGTCAGATTTCGCTTAGCGATTTAAAGAAATGTAGAATGACGCCTATATTCTTTGATACGTTCTTTAACCTTGAAAAATACCTGGATCACGAGCAAAGAGATCCATTCGCCTCGCAACGTGATCACGATATCGATGGACAAGAGGTTCTGCCTTACTGTAAGATAGTAATAATTACAAAATTTGTCTGCAGATGTCCGATTGGGATAGGTATGCTGCGGAAGAGTACGAATTGCTGGTGGCCGAAGAGGGTAATGACCAACAGGACAGTCTGTAAGTGTGTATTCAGAAAATTTAGAATTACAAGTGAGATCTTAATCTTGACTTTAAATTTAGGGATTACAGTTGCGGGTTTGACAGGGTAAGAGTTTCGGTATGTGCTGTTTGGCTTTGTTTTCCTAACACAAGCATTTTTCTAACAAAATGTGGGCTCCTCGTAATTGTGAGAGTTCAGTAGGGAATGTTTTGCTATAATCTAAAAATGAAAATAATGATGAGACTTACGAAGCTATTGTATTATGGTAAAATCTAAACATTATTTTATTCGAAACCCTGAGATAAATCTCTGAATCATAGGAATTTTTTAACCATTTTCTAAGAATTCTGTAATTCTTACATGTTGTGAGTTGACTCCGGATTAACGTGAGAAAGGAATTTATTGAAATTTTGGCAAAAAGACTCACAATTCTGCGAAAAGTCCCAGAATTACGGAAATAGTTCCATAATTCTGAGAGAAAAAAAGACAACAGAATTGGGAAGGATGATTCCAGAAATCTGACAAACAACCTCAGAATGTCTGTATTAAGAAATTTCTTGCCATTCTCTTATAATACGGAAATCTGATCAAAAATCTGATCTGAAAGAAAAAGTTATTCCGTACTGCTGTGTGCATTGATCCAGGCCAAAAAGAACCATGCACAAGACGCACACCTAGCTAGCTCCTCAAATATAACTTTGCCCGGTACAGACCCTCACCCCTATACAGAAAAATGATTTAATTCTGACCTTAAAATTTTGATTCATGGCAAGATCAAAATCCATAAACTCCAAATGGTCATGTAACTCCATTTTGACTAACACTTAAAATGAATTTTTTTAGCAAAAATCAACAAAATTAACTGTAATTGAACATGAAACTTCTCTGTTTGTCAATAAGAAGAAAAGAGTTCGAATGAACACAACTTGCGTGATATTACCACAGATCTACACATACACAGATTGCTAACCTTATACATTTTTTGGGAAACAAATTTAGGTATACTTAAAAGCGCCCTCTATTGCGGAGCAGTATAATCATGTACCGTTTAAAACTGTAATATGACGCTTATGGATTTACGCATTAGATGTCGCTGCAAAACATTTAATGCGGTAAAGTGTGCATATAATCCAGTTTAATTGTATTTTTACCAGGAAAGTTGTGGGGTAGTTTTGATTTCTTTGATTCTATATGTTTTTTGGGGTGCTGAATCCGAATCTGAGGTTTGCTAACAAAATTTCATGACGCAACATTGAAAAAAATACAAAAAAAGTTGAATAAGATATTTTTTTAGCAGTTTTGTGCTTACAACTCGAAAACTATCAACTTTTCGAAAATAACCTCCCTATCTTATATCTTATCGGCGTGGTAAAGAGTGTAACGTTAATGATGGCAGAGATATACATAGTTTGTAAGTATGCCTTTGCGGTTAGCAATTTGTAAAGACCTTTAAAGCCGCAAATAGTGTCCGCCAACTTCAAAAAACCTTCACGATTCTTTAAGAACCTGCCCTATGTTCGTGTGTATCTGTGACCACAGGGACCCGCTTTTAATATCTCCCTTACGACGAATGAGTAGCTTCAGTGTTAAATTAAACAATTATGGCTCAACGTACCTCCTATCATATCATACCACTGTAATAGTACGAATATTAAGGAATTCGAATTGTGCAAACTTTAGCGCTTTAATTTTGTTTCAGCGACATCTAACGCATAAATCCATAAGCGTCATATTAGAGTTTTAAACGATACATGTTTATACTGCTCCGCAATAGAGGGCGCTTTTAAGTATACCTAAATTTGTTTCCCAAAAAATGCATAAGGTTAGCAATCTGTGTATGTGTAGATCTGTGATATTACAAAGTCCAATTTTATTCTACCTAATTACTAATTAGGCCCACTACGTTGATGAGACAAAACAAAATTTTGATGACATTATAATTAGGCACCAAATTCATTCCAAATATCTTAAAACCAAATACAACGTCCCACCTGATATTGTTTACACAGCAGTACATTTTTAAGAAAAAGTGTAACTAATTATTTAGATGCAGATCAAGAAATGCTAAATATGTGAAATCAAATTTTCCATTTGTGGTGGAGCTCCACAACCAAAATACACAAGTATTCACATTTCTTCTTCCCAGTAATCCTTCGCATTTATTGAATTAACAAATTCAGCAGGAATGTTACCACATTTTCCATGAAACGTAAAATGAAATAAGCAAGAATGAGAAAGGGAACGTGCCTTAATAAAACACAGCAACTGTTGCTTATTTGTACTTGGAATGCAACTTACTAACTTGAAGCATTTGAAGCAAACTTTTAAAAAGAAGCATTTTGTTTAGCAAATATCATTTCAGCTCGTTCGATGAAGGGAATGACGAAGACCTTCTCTCGCAGAATCTCGATGTTGTGCTGGACGTATCCGACGCTCCATGTGGCCTTTCAGACGATAGTGATGAATGTAGTATTTAGCGAGAACCAGTTTGTCTTTTTTAATTTTGTAGTTTTGTGGTAGAGACGTTTTTCTAGTCCGTTAGTCGTAAAAGGTGATTACAATAAAATTTTGTTAGGCAAAGTATTTTACTTAGAAGAATGTGCTACTGTTGTAGTATTTATTGTTTTTATATATACATTGATATTATAATGAGAGCGTTAGTGGATAGTAAATTATCGTGGTAGACGTAATTTTTGTATAGCCCTTACAAAGTAGATTGTTAGAGAAATATCCTGGTTTCGTTTTTTGAAACTGTTACACTTGTAAGAAAAGTCGTTATTTTTCGTGTTGTATTTAATGTATAATATTTTGTAAAAAGGATCTGATTTTTGAAAAATTTTTAATGTAAGTATGGAGGTGTGCGAATGTGTGTCTCATTATTGTTTTGAAGGGCAAACTTTAAGACTTTACATTAGCAGCTGTTTGTTAAAATATGTATAGTTTAGCATATTAACTTCATTTCAATCAAAAAAGAGTTACTAGTCATTTTCTTCTAAAATATTTATGTCTTAATTTGTGTATGTTATATAGAAATTTGTTTACTTTATAGACCTAATAATATATACTTGGTTTTCATCTGTTTTCATATTTAGGTAGCAGGACAATTTATTAGTAGTACAGAAGGTACCAGGTTGACGGTTTGGAAAACTAACAATGAACTACAAGCATGTTTGGGCAAGTGACATCTACTCCCTAATCTAATCTATGGATAGTACTGTTAATCCTTTATATCTTAAGAATCCTATTATTTGTGTAGAGCTGTGTATTGGGTATTGATCCTGGGTGATTTTATGCCAACACCAATCGTCTGTGTAAGGAACCATAATGCCAGCCATATGTAGTGCATGTATCCGGAACTGTTGTGGGCACTAATACAAAAGAATTTGATTCGTTATAAACTTACAAAATATGCATATCTGCTCACAGATGATGATTTGAGACACTTGTTAGTTTAAAGTTCCGTTTTCTCTTTGTTAAGTACCTTCTTCCGACACCCATCCTTGAGATACTCACATTTAAAGTTTTAACTCTTTCAGCACGGACGTCTGGTCTCGATTCAACAATCTTCCCTTTGTAATTACCTTTTTCGGACACTCCATTCTTCAGGATTTAAAGTTTTGAATCTACCATTAACTGATGCATCTCGTTCAGATCAACCCCTGTTTAATGCAACAATGAATTTTAAATTTAAGCGCGCTTGTATATCGCGCTAGTTTGAGTAGGGATTCGGCGCACGCAGAAGTTTCTTTTAGTTTTAGTAGATTGGTAGAACCGTAGAACGAGATTGCGTTGTTGTAAAAATGGCGAGCATTAATGTAAATTGTTCTTGTGCTTTTTACGTACAAATAAAATATTAAAAGAAGAGTAAATCTTTCCATTTGGTCCTTCGAGCAACGGATTCCTAAGTAAGAAGTCAAGAATCAACATTCGAAATAAGTTCATTGCAACAAGCAAACAACGACACGATTACGCCATCAAACGCAAGTACAGCGGACCAGTCAAGTAAAGGCCGATCCCTCAAGTAAGCATCCTAACATTATTACGTTCACGTTCAGTATTCATTTTATTACCTATCACATTCTTTAAACATGACGAATGACGAATTGAATCTCAAAAAACTTGTGCAGAAAAGAGGCATTTGTAAAGCCCAACTAACGATGTTTGACACTTATTTGAGCGGGTTAAATACGGAAGAATTAACCAGCACCGATTTAACTAACATAGAAAACAGATTGCAAAAGTTACAACCATTTTTTGATTCCTTTAACGATGTACAGAACGAAATTGAATGCTTATCAGAGCAAATCGACGTAAACGAAAGGCAATTATTTCAAGATAACTTTTTTCATTTGACAAGTCAAGCTAGCGACATTTTAATAAAAGCTAAGGAAAGCAGTATTCAATCGCGTTCTGTGCAAGGGCATGAAAACTGCGATGATCGCAGTTGCGATACGAGTTCACATGTTACACGTAGGAAAAGTACCAGAGTAAAATTGCCCACTATTCAATTGCCAACTTTTGATGGTTCATTTACACTATGGCGGGAATTTTATGATTCCTTCAATGCGTTAATACATACAAATTCGGAACTGTCCGATGTGCAAAAACTAACTTATTTAAAGGCTTCATTAAAGGGTGAACCTGCTGGTTTAATCAGTTCTTTGCAAACCACGCATGAAAATTATCCTATCGCATGGGCACTATTGCAAAAACGTTACGACAACAAAAGGCGCATTGTAAACAATCACATAAATTGTATGATGGAAATGCCCACGATGACACGTGAATCGTGCGAATCATTAAAACAAATTATCAATATACAAAGTCACGTGCAATGTTTAAGGTCTCTTGGCCAACCTGTGGAAGCGTGGGACGCCATTTTGATTTCAATAGTTACATCTAAACTCGATTTTAACACAAATAAAGAATGGGAAGCAAAGCTGAGTACGATGGAAGGTGAAGCAAAAGGAAAAATCCCATCATTTGAAAGTCTCTTGTCATTTTTAAACAATAGATTAAGCACATTAGAAGCAATCAAACGAAAACCTAGTGACATCCCTAAGCAATCACAAAATTATGTGCGTACCCCAAGATCCGAATCAAAATCTTTTCATGTAACTAGTTCCTCATGCATTCACTGCAACAAAGACCATTTAATTCAAAAATGTGACACATTTCTAAAACTTAATGCGGAGGAGAGAAACAAAAGGGCTAGAGAGTTAAAGGCATGTATCAATTGCTTGCATAAAGGCCATTTTTTACAGGACTGCAAATCTAAGTATAGTTGCAAAAAATGCAACAAAAGGCATCACACAGAATTACATTATGACAGAAACGACAACCCTAAAGGTTCAACTCAAATCCCTACCAAGCACACTTCTGTAGTTCAGGCCAATGAATCAGAGCCCAATGAATCAGAGTCAAATGTTTTAGTTTCACGAATATCGTCAACTCCCAGGGATCAGGTTTTATTATCGACGGCAAAGGTATTGCTTGTACATAAGAATGAAACGCGTGAAGTTCGATGTCTTCTTGACTCGGCGTCACAATCAAACTTTATAACGGCAGAAACATGTGAAAAATTAGGTCTCACACTCGTTCCGATTAAGATTAATGTAATAGGTATCAATCAATCAGCTATGACAATCTCCCACAAAGTTAACATTACTCTCAAATCTCGAATAAATGAATTCACAGTCACATTTTCATGTTTAGTAGTCCCAATAATATCAAATTATTTACCTACGGAATCGTACCCAGTAAATGTTTTCCAAATCCCATGCAATTTAAAACTTGCAGACCCAGACTTCAATAAGGCTGCTCCAATTGATTTACTCATTGGTGCCGATGTGTTTTACGACTTATTATGTGTAGGTCAAATTAAACAAGTTAATCTCCCAACCTTGCAAAAAACAAAATTCGGATGGGTAGTATCTGGGAAGATAAGCACTTTAAATCAGAAACCTGTACAAAACAGCCATACTTACCTCACGTTACAAGAATTGCATTCAAATGTTGAAAAATTTTGGCAAATTGATGAGTTCATAGGCAAAGCAAGTGTTTTAACTGAAGATGAAAGGTATTGCGAAACGTTATTCAATAAAACAACATCGCGTGACAACTCAGGCAAATTTGTAGTTCGAATTCCATTCAAACCGAATTTCAAAAATATAGGTAATTCATATGAAATAGCAGAATCACGACTCCACTCACTAGAAACACGCTTAAGTAAAAATCCAACTCTGAGGCATGATTATACTAAATTTATGCATGAATATTTCAAATTAAATCACATGACCAAAATCAATTATGACAAGCATCAATGTTTCTTTCTTCCGCACCATGCTGTGGTGAGAGAAAATAGTAAAACCACCAAGCTGAGGGTTGTTTTCGATGGCTCATGCAAACTAAAGTCGGGTATTTGTGTAAATGACGCCCAGTACAAAGGACCTACAATACAAGACGATTTATTCTCTATAATAAGCAGATTTAGGACGTATCAATTCGTATTAAGCGGGGACATTGAGAAAATGTATCGGCAAGTCCTCATACACCCAGACGATAGACGCTATCAAAGGATATTATGGAGAGACTCTCAACATGAACCACTAGCCTGGTACGAACTTAACACTGTCACGTATGGCATGACTTCAGCACCCTTTCTGGCGACTAGATGTTTATTTCAATTAGGGATAGATTGTGAAGCCAATTTCCCTGTAGAGTCCCAAATCATAAAACATGATTTTTATGTTGACGATATGTTAACTGGTTCGAATTCACTTGAAACTTTAAAGCAAATAAAAGACAACGTTGATCACATTTTAAAGTCTGCCGGATTACATTTAAGGAAATGGAACAGCAACGTTACAGATTTAAGAGATACCAACTTAAGTGAAACTGTAATAAATGAAGACATTCAGAAAACATTAGGGATAAATTGGCACCCTGATGATGATAAGTTTATCTATTCTACAAAGGCTTTAACTGCATATACTCATAACACTAAACGCACCATTTTGGCGACTGCCGCACAACTATTTGATCCTCTCGGTTTGTTAGCGCCCACAATTATTATAGCCAAGTTCATTTTGCAGGAGCTGTGGCGTTTAAACCTAACATGGGACGAGACCGTTCCGTTAGACATTCAGACAAAATGGCTCAGATACAAAAACGAATTGCAGACAATAAACCAAATTCATATTCCACGTCATACTTTAGTCATTAAACCCATTGAAGTTCAATTACATGCATTTTCGGATGCCTCCGAGAAAGGTTACGGGGCATGCATTTACTTGAGATCTATCAATAAAAATAATGAAATCAAAGTGATGCTATTAGCAGCCAAATCTAGAGTATCCCCATTAAAAAAGACGACCATTCCTAGACTCGAACTGTGCGCAGCTGTATTGTCGGCTCAATTGACTAACAAATTTAAACAAATTTTAAATGTCGAAATAAAAAAGGAATACTATTGGTGTGATTCACAAATAGTTTTAAGTTGGCTAAAGGCACCCAGTGAAAAGTGGAAGACTTATGTAGCCAACAGGGTATCGGAAATACAATCTCTAACAGACACAAATAGTTGGCATTATGTACCATCCGCAGATAATCCAGCAGATTTAATTTCGAGGGGAGCTTCTCCCAAACGATTAGCCACATCTACGTTGTGGTGGAACGGACCTAATTGGCTCAATACATTAAATGATCAGTGGAACTTTCCATGTCGTGAACTTCCAAACGATTTACCAGAGTTAAAAAGGCAAATTCAATCCTTCCACATTACGTCTGAATCAACTAAATTCCCAATTGAAAATTACTCCTCGTTCGAAACATTGAAAAGGGTGATTGCTTTCTGTGTGCGTTTCAAAAACAATTGTCTAACACCTGCCCACGAAAGGAATATTGGAGCACTATCAATCAATGAAATAAAAAACGCTCTTATGATAATAATTAAACAAGTACAATCTGAAACATTTCCTAAAGAACTGGAAAGATTAAAGCAAAACAAGCCCTTAAGCTCAAAGAGTACCCTGTTAAGTCTTACACCATTTATTGATTCCTCTGGAATTATCCGAGTAGGCGGAAGATTACAACATTCTCATTTCAAATATGATAAGAAACACCCCATAGTGCTACCCAAAAATCATCACCTTACGAAAATTTTATTTGTTTCCGAGCATAACAGACTACTGCATGCAGGAGCAAAATTATTGCTAAGTACGATCCGCGATCAATTTTGGCCAATACATGGCAAAAATACTGCCAAACTGGTAGTGCGTACCTGTATTAAATGCATCAGATTTAAATCAAAGGTCAACAATCCTCTAATGGGTCAGTTGCCAGTGCAACGGACAATTATCATGCCACCCTTTCATTCAACAGGCATAGACTATGCGGGTCCGTTTATGATTAAAGACAAAAAGGGCAGAGGCAGTAAAAACTCAAAATGCTACATTTCTTTATTTGTGTGTTTTTCCACCAAATCAATGCATCTTGAATTAGTCACCGATTTAAGTACAGAATGCTTTATCGCTGCTCTAAGACGTTTCATTGGTCGTAGGGGTAAGCCATTACACATATTTTCTGATAACAGCACCACATTTGTAGGTGCCAAAAATGAATTACGGGAACTTAATGATTTTCTACAAAATAATGTTATTGCAATAACCAATGCGATGTCCGTAGAAGGTATTACCTGGCACTTTATTCCAGCTCGGTCGCCCCATTTTGGCGGGCTTTGGGAGGCAGGGGTGAAAAGTGTCAAACATCATCTAAAAAGAATCATATCAAACGATTCATTTACTTACGAAGAGTTCAGTACGCTAATAATTCAAATTGAGTCAATTCTAAACTCACGTCCATTAACTTCCTTAACAAATGATCCTAACGACCTGGATGTCCTCACTCCCGCTCATTTCCTAATCGGCCGTCCATTTACAACAATAGCAGATCCAGATGTTACGGACATTCCTACAGCAAGACTGAGCCGTTACCAATATCTTCAAAGCTTGAATCGACAATTCTGGAGAAGATGGTCGAAAGAATATATTCATGAGTTGCAGCAGCGAAACAAATGGAGACGAAGTGAAAATAACCAACTGAAACTAGACGACATCGTTTTGATAAAAGAAGACAACTTACCTCCAGCGAAGTGGAGCATCGGAAGAGTCATTCAATTGCATCCCGGTATCGACAAGACAGTGCGTGTGGTAACTGTGAAAACCGCATCTGGCACGGAAATCAAACGAGCTTGCTCAAAATTGTGTGTGCTTCCAGTTGGAGAATCTAAAAGTGAAGTTAGTAATAACTAAAATTAATATTGAAGATAAACATGAATTACTTACTTACGTCGTTACTTACCTGTATTTGTATTTTATTTAATGTGACTTTATGTTGTTTATCTGTGTATATTATGTTTTCTCATGTTTTGGTTATCATGTATCAATTTTTAAATCCAAGGATTTCAAGGCCGGCGGCATGTTAATGCAACAATGAATTTTAAATTTAAGCGCGTTTGTATATCGCGCTAGTGTGTTCAGTAGGGATTCGGCGCACGCAGAAGTTTCTTTTAGTTTAGTAGATTGGTAGAACGACATTGCGCGTTGTAAAAATGGTGAGCATTAATGTAAATTGTTCTTGTGCTTTTTACGTACAAATAAAATATTAAAAGAAGAGTACATCTTTCCAGTGGTAGTTTTTATGATAATATGCAATTACGTATTTTGTAAAAATTGTGAAAATTTGTTAATAGAATATCCTCGAGAATATCTCAACCGAGTTCTGTTTGATATTCCTGTTTCAGTAAACAATATGCAACTTTAGCTCTCGCGCAATATTTCCTTTTTTTCCCTGTGGTTTTTCTTCCGGGGGTTTTTATTCCGGGTTTTTTTTTCCAGGGGCGTTTTTTCCGGTACCGACATAGGACAGCATTATTCCAGAATAATTTATGCTGCTGCAAAATTTTTAATGTATTACCAGACGCAATTAAAAATATCCCTACCTTTAGACAGTTTAGGTTAAAACTCAAACAGTTTTTACTCCAATATACATTTTATTGCTTAAGTGACTACAACTCGTTATCGAAATAAAAAGAAAACGCTTTCCGTAGTTATGTTGGCATGTTAGTATATCTGTAGATAATTTTATTTTTATTTTTATTTATATTGTCTCATTATATTTACATTATGTTATATTGGTAATTTGTCAATCTTGTTAGTTGTTATTCTTTTCTATGTAATGTAATTGTAAATTTATGACAAATATTGCATACATTTCTGTACGGAATGTACTGGCAATATAAAAATATACAAATACAAATACAAAGAATGTGAACTTGGATGTTGTAAATATTGCTGAATATGTATTAATTTCTAAATTTTCTCTAAAATACTGGAGGTGTTTTATATTCGACTTTATTTTCACTCGGGTATGTAAATAATTTAAATATTCAAACATAATGTTTTATTACAAATAATGGACGGTATTGATGTTGACTACATTACGTATGGTCACAGAATGAATTCAAGTGGTTACCAATGCATAATCTTACCCCTTAACCAGGTAAACGGTAAAACCCAAAACGGGTCGTCATTAGTCCAAACGTAATGAGTTACAAGAATGCAAAATATGCACATTGAACGCAAGATTACTAACAGGAGGTTTTACTGTACATATACAAAAATAGACATAAGTTTGTGCATAATGAGGACTTACAGCACAAGAAGGCGAAAAGATTTCTCTGTACCGGTATCTAAACTTAAAGTATCCCAACAGTCACCCAATAGCATTGGCATTAAGCTCTTCAACAACCTCCCCAGCACCATGAAAAATATAAAGACTTTCAGGGAATTCAGGTTAAAATTAAAAAAGTTATTAGTTCAAAATGCAATCTATAAAATCGTCGAATTCGTAAACATCTGCAAATAAATTTATTTACTTTTTAATTTAAACTTTGTAAATTGCAAAATCTTATTCTTTTACTGTCTTGACTAGCCCTTACACAATGTTAATCCATTGTCAAAAGGTAACAATAAAATTGAATTGAATATTAATGTTGGTGACATACCATACCATGCACTGTTAATATAATTATGTAAAAATGGGACAGTTGTAAATAAATAATAATAATAACATACTGTAACGTGATTTATAAATTCGGGTTCGATTTATATCAATATTTATTAAACAAAACTAAAACACTATAAAAACTGTACAATTTATATCGACTATTTATATCACACACTTCGCAGTTTATATTTCCGCGCTCGATGTTTCATCCGTACTCGATCTCGTTCGGTAGTAAACTGAGTGCGATGTTCGGTCCGCAACCATTTATACACGCAAGCAATGTAAGTCCAGAACACTCGCGTAATTACCGGATAAGTCTCGAATATTCCTATACAAATCCCACTATCGCGGGCGTAGAAAATTCCAGAGCGCCAAAGGCGACGTCATGTCTGGAGCGTTTCCGTTACAATACTTAACGTCGACAACCTATTTTTCTTTCGCCTTTAGCGAACTAAAGTATCGCAAAACGGGAGAAAGACAGTTTTTAAACTTCATTGAATATACCTACTTATTTTACACAGCAATAGCAGTAAAGCAAACAACATAAATACTAATGGTATAGGCAAGGGACATTGATAATTAAATCAGCCAATCAATTCAACATTTAATTATCCATTACGTTTAAAATCAATTTATTCTCTAGATTAACGTGATGTTTATGGGATACCTAACCTAATAGAGTTTCTTGTTAAAAAATCTGCTAACTTAATTAAAGACTTACTCGTATTTCAAAACTCATTATATTTATTTCATGCAGCACAGTGATCATGTACCAAAATATAACGTTAAATTTTTATATTTAATTTAAATTTGTTTTATGGATTAATAAAACAGATACTGGTGGTTTTCAAAGCGTAATTGTGTAATTTTGTAATGAAATACAGACTCTCGCTGGAAACGTAATATCTGAAGTGAAATTTCATTTGTGTTCGTTGTGTTCGAATTATATTTCTGAACACACAGTACAATTTTGGAATATGTATTTGAGGCGTCACAAAACAAATTAATGGGAATCGATTACTCGATATCTGTTTATGAAGAGGATGTAAAATGGAATTAGGCAATACATATGTATTCCTGAATATCATTTTATCGAATCATCGGAGGATTATTAAAATCTGAAAAAGTACTCATATTTCATACAACAGCATTTAAAGGTCTAAGACATTAAGCCAAAACAGAGTGCGCCAACGAAATATGAATAATAATAAACCGGCCTACAGAAGATTAAGAAAAAATACACGGCAATTTTATTTTGAAGGTGTACCTAATTTAACCCCTCTCAGTTTTTACTCAGTATCTCAGTATACATACATACGAAAAGAAAAACGTAAAAAATATGATATTATTTTTCAAAAACTCCCGACAGGTTGCCTAGAACATATTTAATAAATCCTGGGCGTTCAATAATGGTTGCGGTTTTCTCTTCCGTGAACGTAAGACGTTGATAAGTTTCATGTCGACTGTCAATAAAAAATCAAAGTCATCAAAAGCAATACACAAACGCACAGAAATCCGCAAAGTATATGCTGAACGTCCGTCGTTATAATTTGCCTGACAACTGCCCAGCCCATTTTGCGCCAATTCCGTGAAAATACCTGTCGAATACCTTAACTGCAGTTAAAATGAACAGTAGTTACAGTGACTTAGAAAATTTAAACGTTCATGAGCACCATTGCGGGACAAGCGGACTTTATCATTTTACCCAGAACGAACTACCGCCGTGGAAGATTCTCAAACTCTTTAACCCAGAGCTAGTTGGCCGTTTATGTGGCGGGTTTGAGGAAACGCAGTGCCAACTCTACGTACCCGTTAGAGCTCATCACAATATCCGTTTTTTAACAGACCGATAAACTGACGGACCGATGAATATTATATAATATTATACATGACAAAAATAAAGGCAAAATAATAAAAATAAAAAAATGAAATCACCGCCGGACGCAAAACCGATAACCATTCACACGTTTCCGGTGAATTTGTGTTTAGTCCAGGAGGCAGCGACATTTTTTGTGCACTCATTTCTACACAGCTAACATTCTGCCATTTTATTGTTTTGATAGTACAAGTAAACAAAACGGTAGTCTACCGCGTCGGCGGTGTTGCGTAAATTTGCAACAATTTTAATAAATAATATGTACTGTACATGCCTCATTTCTACAAGAATGAAAGTTGAAACTTGAAACTTTGACATATGCCTGGCGGCGCCGCCTCTCCCAGGTAGTCAACTGTCGTGAGGATGCGTCCCTGGTAGTCACTATCAGGGACCTTTCTCCACTACTTCTTTCTTTTTTCTTCATTTTGTGACATTGTAACGCTCTCAAAACAGTCAAGGTGCTCCCGCACTCGATTCGGATTTGTACACTCTCAAGTACCAACTAGCTTCCAGCGGAGGCTGGGTGAGTTCAAAAATAAAATGTTCGAGCGCCACAGAGTTACAATTTTTTTAAAGAGTTGTAAAGTGTACAAAACCTTGCAACTACTGGATAACTCTGAATTCCAGTAGCCACGAGTCGTTCGCCACAAGACTGTATAGAATAAAAAAACAATCCAGCAACGTTTGGTGCTTTTTATTTACACAAAGCGAAAATAATAAATCACTCATAGGCACGATAACAATATAAATAATAATTACGCTTATGATGGTGTAGCAGTTTCGTCAATAAACAGAGAATTATGTGTCTCGCTTGCACACAAATTAATCAGGTAAGGTAAATGACTAACGGCGAATAAATGAGTGATTGGATGAATAACCTTAGAATTACCAGCGTTCCGGTGTACGGCAATCCTTCTCTGAAACCTGGCCAACTATATATAGAGCAAAGCTAACTGTTAACCTTCCCAAAGCTACTGGAACTACGTACCCCTAAACCCAAAGCAATTGCTGTAGATTTCTAAATTATAAATTCAACAGGAATACTCAAATAACGCAACCTAGCCCACCGTAAAATGTACAGCTGTATAATCAGTAGTGTAAAGCAATGATAATGAATTCGGTATGCAAGCGTGCAGATGGCAAAATGTCTAATGGAATGTATTTTCATGCAAGCTACTGCTAACTGCTACCCAAGCTAGTTATTAAATTCCCAAGCAATAATCTACTAGCTACTATACAAACAACAAGATAACAAATTCAAATATGTACAAGTGATTAATTAACACTCTTCCCAAAATGTGTTATAAAGGAGTGCAACTTATCTACTGGCTGCGCTGTAACACCCTTTTGTAGGAATGGCAACCTTGATCCCACGCTGACTGCTGATAGGATTGAATTGACCGTCGATGGAATGTCCCCTTTGACCTCACCTTGAAGATAGCGCCAAGACCAATGGAACTCAGGTGTGTAATCGTCACGAACTTAATTGGTTTGATTAGCCCCGTACTAAAACTAAATGGGAATTACCAAAAGTGCCTTACCACTGAAGATATATATAAAAAGAACACAGAACTTACCCCTAACAGAATTAGGGCTGACGTAGATATCTTCTTAAAAATTGATTGCTCTTTAGAGCCGGAAATCCGTAAGATGAGGAACGATCGGAAGAATCCAATTAAAATGCTCCTCAATCCAAAAATAATAGCAATTACCCAATCCAGAAAAACTGCTGCAGACCCTCTACTCCAAAAATCCGAGTCTTGAGGAATATACAATTTTCGGTAAAAGCTACCCACAATCAAAATCTAAAGATCGTCGTCTTAGTGCAATGTCGAATGTAAAAGTGAAATTGTTCCCATAATCTACCTATACGAAAATGAAGATAACCTATGAGGGTCATTGTCAGAATCATTCAAAGAAAATTGAGTTGCCTACAATAAGGATGAAACTTGCCCATAAAAATTAATAAATTAAAATTAAGAAAAATAAATGTCACAACATGTCCTAATACAATATTATATTGTCAACAGGAAACAATAAAAGTTATGAGTATGAGTTACTTTGTTGCCATCGCGCTGGGCCGCGACATATGCCAAACAATGTGGTGGATTTTGCGGGTTGGGGGGGTTGTGGGGGGGGGGCGGCTAACTGGGTGTTTTGCCTTAGAGGGAACTCTGCTTTCTAGTGATAGCTCCTTCTCCGGGCGTTCATTGGCTTCCGATGTTTCTATGCTTTGGTCTCGTTCCCTTCCCTGTTTTTCCTCGTGTTAGGCCCTTTTTATTGTTGTCCTCCCCCTGCGTTACCTTCTGTCCCCTTTTCCTCCTCCCCTTGGCTACTTGTTCTTGTGTCTGATTCTTCCTCCACCTTTAGTATTCATCTGCTTTCTTCTGTTCTGTTTGTATCTACTCTTCTCTTCCCATGGTAATCCCCGAGACCTCTACCGTTTGGTTTATGGTGGTGTTCCATGTGTGGCAGGGTCGGCCTACCTTCCATTCCGAGGTACATAGGATCTTGGCAGCCCGTTATGATATGGTCTTTGTTCCTCCTGTTGGTATGTATGTCCCCATCCGCCTCATCTTCAGCTCACCACCATCCTCGTTTGTTCTATAGCGTGGTCAAGTGCTATCCCAAAGATCCTTGGGGAAGCGGACATCCTTGTTTGATTCCTTAGCTCTAGTCATTAGTATTGTATTCTACTTATAACTTTGATATTTGACTGTGATATTTGTTGGTTTGTTGGAGTTAATGAATTGTTTGAGATTTTACAATGCAACTCGGCGGAATGCATTTGTAAACGGCCTAAATAGCTAGTTTTGGTATTCGGAGAGAAATTTCTTAGTAAAGTAGAACATCGCTCCTTGTTGCGCGAACGCTGCTGACTATCCTTCTCTCTCCGTCTCATTCGCGACTCCCGACTCGGCGAGGTGGGTAGGTTTTTACTTAAATGACCGTAACTTTTTTATTATGAAAAATTCACGGTAATGTTATAGAAAATAAAATAATCACAATGCTTTGGAGCATCGAATGAGCTATGAATATTGGAAATCGATATCGTGAAATAAAAAGTTATTATTGATCAAAGTGCGCACTTTTATCTGCTACACGAATTTTGGAAGTTGACGGTCATTTTTCTAAAAACTTTGCATAACAAGGTAGGTAAATATATATAAATATATGCTATAATAATGTATTTTCATTTTACAAAAGGAATTATTGATGTATATCGCTTAGTTGCTGAGAAAATAAATACTTTCGGTGGTTCAGTCGCGCGCGCGAAAATGAGTAAAGTTCAACTTTAGCGGCCTATAACTTTTGTCAGCACCACGGGAAAATGTCGTAAAGCGAGATTCTGAAGATTCAAACATTTCTGAACAAAATGGCGTGGGTCCCAATTCTTTCTACTCCGAAAAAAAAAATTACCTCAAATAAGCGAGTTAGCGCCGGCTCTCCGCTGCACTATTAGCGTTACAACCAGATACACGACAAGTACCGCCGGGACATTCCTCGGTAAAATGGTTCGATTGAACACAGTTGAAGCACAAGTTCTTGTCTTTCACGATATTCCACTTCTCTGCGTCCGACTTACTTTTAAACCTTCGACATCTCCGAATTGTGTGGTTTTCTCTGTTGTAATGAGCACGACTCGTCTTTAGTAATAGCAAGAACGTGGGGTTTGCTATCTTTGACTTCTGTGACGTAAATGCAGCTTCCAAAACTTACTCTTTTCTCTATTACATTGTACAGCAATTCCAGGTTTGGAATTTCTGGTGTAGTCGAATTGTCCCTTTCCACTTTTTTCGTGTACCTTCGTCGAGCTTTTGTAAGAGAATGTGAATCTGTAAACAGTGACGTTGTTATCATTACCAATTATTGCACCACCTGAAGCAGGCCAAAGAAGAAAAATCTCTCCTTATTGATGATGTATCAACAAAATTAATGATAGGAAAAGGCGTGAAAATAATATCATTACTTATGGGCTTGAGGAATCATCTAATGATAGTCCACAGGTTAAAGAGATACTTTCAAGGTAGTTGCTCCCAGTATATGCACGGATGACATCGGTATCATCAGGTTGGGAAAATCCGGTCGTAACAGACCTCCACCTGTGAAGGTTGTATTGCACAAAAAGGACAATGTGCTCATCGTGTTGCGGAATAAGAGGAATTTAAAAACCACGCATTCAAATGTCGCAATTTCTACAGGCAATACGAAAGTCCAGCAGGAACATTTTAGAACAGTGCGCGCCGAACGAGCAAAGGAAAATGAAGGATGAGCGTAATTTGTTCATAAATTACAATACGTTAAATTGAAGGATTTGCTTATGGAATTTTACGTCGCTTCAAACTTATCGTAAAATTGATGGCCTATTCAAGTAAACTTAGAATTAAACCAACAGAATAGGAGTAAAATGAAAACAATCTGTTTTACAGAGCTGTCATATTGAAAACTCTATATATTTTTTTTATTCAAAACTTCCTCGAAAACTTCTGACTCCATCTTGTCGACAAAACCAATTTTTAGTCAGGTATATTAAATGTTCTCTTTAGTTATTTTAAAGAAATTTGTTACAGATTAATACATTTCATTAAACTGAGATTGTCTTTCAACCAAATACACGGATTTGGTCTCAGCTTTGTCTATCCCCAATTTACGACTTCGTAGATTTGTACGTGTCGAACTGAATATTTTACGCTTGGTATATTTTCAACTGTGTCAATAGGAGTGATCACCTACCAGAGCTTAAATGCACGTTTTCAGCTATAAAATAAATAAATCAGTTCAATTGTGATGTGCAATTTAAGTATTCGATATTTTCGAATCTATTGAAATAATTCTAAAGCATCTAAAATCAATTTAATTATACGCCATTTTAAGCGTGATCCTCAATCACAAGGATTAGTTACACTCAAAAGACCACCTAACGCTGTGGATAATTAATGCCTCATTAAATTAGATAACACCCCTAAAATTGTTTACTATAACAAATGTATGTTAGCGAAATTAATTCCGTTCAGATTTACCAATTGAATTACGCATTTTAGTAGTTTGCTGTTCTGGAGGTAGCGTCAAATTTGAGAGGCGATTTTGGCACGATTTCTATGAGTTGATAATGGTAGATAGTACGTGTTGAAGGATTAAAATTGATGTCAGCTGGCGCGACTGCGTGGCTTATGGGCGCGGGAGGAGGCAAGAAAATATTTTTGATACATTTTGACAAAGCTGAAAAAGTAGTGATGATGAATCGACGTATATACCTGCGGGGGAGTTTTCACTTTCTGTTTCAGTTGAAAACGGGGAGGTAACTTAGTCGTCAAGTGTCAAGATTTTTAATTTTTTGAAGTAAGTTGACACATTATTCTTACTGCACGTTTTTGTATTCGTTCCACATGCGCACTGGCACCCCAGATACCAATGTTGTAGCTTATGATAGCGTGAAAGTTTGCGTGGTATAAAGTTAAAAGCGTATTTTGATTGCAGAAACGTTTAAAAAAGTGTAACGCGTAACAGCATTTCCGAAGCTTAGTGCACAGGTTGTCTATATGTTCTGACCATGATAGCTTGTTATTGTTACTCCTAGCATCTTTCTAGAGGTGGAGCATGGAATACCGAGGGCATTTTCGATTTTGCAGGTATTGCGCTTATTTCTAAAGTGTATTACTGAAGTTTTCTCAGTATTTATAATTAAGTTGTTATTTTTACACCATAATCCGAGTGTTAATATGCGCTTATCCAAAGAGCTGACGATTTCGGATACGAACTCATTTAAAGCTGTACAAGTGGATTTGGATTTTATAAATCCATACTGAGATTTGTTCTAAATATTGTATTTTAGTAAGTAAACTATAAGTTGCTTATTGATAACATTTTCTATTACTTTTGAAAAACACGACAGGATGCTGATAGGCCTAAGTTTGTAACATCACGAGGGTCACCTTTTTTGAAAAGCGGATTAGAGTGGAGAATTTCAAATGAGGTCCGAAAAATTCGAGGAATGTGTTAAAACCCGTTATATTGTGAAATTATAAACCTTAATGTATAAAGTTTTTAGCTTTGCCAAAATGCTCCGATTTTCATGAATTTTTCGACGTTGCTATAGTCAGCTAACACTTTTTTCCACGGATCCATTGCAGCTGACACATTTTTTTAAGATCAGTGTTTTATAAGCTAATCATCATTACTTTTTCAGCTTATATTTTCTGGTCTTCAAGTTTCGCCTCCTCTCGCGCCCAAAGGCCCCGGAGTTGCGCCAGCCTACATCAATTTTAATCCTTCAACACGTACTAACTACCATTATCAACTCATAGAAATCGTGCCAAAATCAAAGAAATTCATACAAGCCTTACAATATTAAACATAAAAATAATACAAGTTAAATTCATAAATTTAAAAACAACAAATTATAAATTATAGACTACCGTTAACTGCGTGGACATATCAATGTTGATGCTACACATTTGCCATGGCTTGCAGTATATCATAATATGTAACTATGCCCTTTAGAAATACTTGAACATTCAAGAATTCGTCATCAGCATGAGCCCTAATTGGAGTGCCATTATTAGGTGAAAACCCAAGCACGGGTATTCCCTGTTGTCGAAGGTATCTGGCATCGGTGCAACCAGGCATAGTTTGAACCTTTAGCTCTCCTTTACTAAAAGACTTTTACACTTTTACGGTTTTGAAAGCAATTCTCACCCTCCGATAGTCTTTTTGAATGCTTCCCAAAAGATATTGGAATCCAATTTTGTTATAGGTGTAACCGATTCTTTAAGGTAATATTCGATCCAAACATCTTCGCCTGCTTCTTGGCACCACTTTGTTATGGTACCTTCCCATTCCTGTTCATCTACCATGGGTGGAATTCGAGTATCAAGTACAATCACAAATTCCGACGGTATAATATTGTTTTGCACTCCACCCTGTATACATAACTTAAATAGATTATCAAACGTTTGGAAAGTATGTAAGTTTTGTAAGTCTACCTGCATCATGGTTAAATTGACAGTAATAATGTCTCCATAATCCGAGAATTCTTTAAATCGTGCCATGGATTTCTCTCGCAATTCGTAGAATTTATTTAGCACATATCGCACCTTTTCCCCCGGTGTATTATCAAACATAAAGCATCCATGTCCTGGAGTTCCGGGGCAATGAATGGCAAACTCTAAAATATTAGTTGTACTTAATCAAAACCTCAGCAAAAATTACTCCAGCCGTATTTCTCCGAATTAAATACGAAAAACTCTTCTTTAGTACTAGGAGCGCCTTCATCCAAGGCAAAACCAACATTTAAATTTTTAAATTCAGGCGATAACACAAATAGTTTCATTCCTTCTTTACCTCCGATTTCTTCATCTGCAAGTACTTGTTTATGGCGCACCTAACTTGCCAAAAGTTATACTGACCTGGGACAAAAGATACATGGATGGTTCGATTAAGCACTGCGTCATCTAAAATTAATCGCCGTATTGCTTCCAAATACTGAATGCCTAAGCACTTAGTGTCCTGAGCGCCTCTGGCGAAAATATTCCCATCCTCATCAATTTCGGCAGCAAATGGAGCGTGTGTCCAGTTTTCCTGGAGATATTTTGATAGAACTCTTCAGAAAAAGTTATCGTATACCTCATCAACTGGAACAACATCCATATGACTGTTTAACAATATACTTGGAAGGTGAGGGTTGGCACCCAGTAACGTTATCACAACAACAGGCTTATCAGGAAGACATCGAATAACACTTAACTCTAGATTTAAGTTTTTTGCATAATCCTCGAGAAATTGCACGCAACCATCTGCATCACGCATGTTGTTACAGCATTTGCAAAAATACAGTTACTTACCGTAATTTATATTGGGGTGCACCGTAGGTATGCGCAAATACTTTTGGAAATTTTCAACGGCTATTGCATCTAAATCTACTGAAGACGTTACGTTGGCCATGTAGATGAATCCTGTTCACTTTACGTTGTAACATACCAATTGTGGTTCGTGTTCCTCAATCTGAATGTTATAATAATATTTTAATTTTAACGTTTCTTGATCGTGTAATAATTTTTACGGTTTGATAACCCCATGCATATCTAGAATTATTCGTATCCGTACTTTTATAGTTAATAAAAAGAAGTGTACGTCTAGGTCAGAATGTTTATAAAGAAAATAGAAACAAGTTTCAGTACTAAAAGTTTCATACTTATCCGAACGTAGTAGGCATGACAAAAATGTTAACAAGATTAACAAGTTAAAAAGTAATCGTAAACGATTGACATAAAGCGCATTTCCACTTGCATTCATTTCCCATTTGTAAGGTGCAACTTCTGTTAAAATCGTAAAAATCCGGCCACAAATATGAAAGATAGCGTTGCACAAATGCAATCCATTTTTGACGTGCTACTTCAATTTTTGTTTATAAGAAGAATTTCATTTCAATGCTTTTCTAAATAAGAAAGTTGGAACTGCGCATGCGCAAACCTAAATTTTGAAACTAATGTTAGATTTTCCTTTGTTCCAAGCGCCAAAGTATTAAATTTCACTTAAATGCTTCCATAGATAAAAAAAGTTGGCACTGCGCATGGGCAAAATAAAATTTTTAAACTGGCGCTAGATTTTCCTTTATTCCAAGCGCCTATGTATCAAATTTCATTTAAATTCTTCCATAAATAAAAAAGTTGACACTGCGCATGCGCAAAACCAAATTTTTAAACTGGCGCTAGATTTTCCTTTATTCCAAGCGCCTATGTATCAAATTTCATTTAAATTCTTCCATAAATAAAAAAGTTGGCACTGCGCATGCGCAAAACCAAATTTTGAAATTGGCGTTTGATTTTCCTTTATTCCATGTGCCTATGTATCAAATTTCGTTTAAATTCTTCCATAAATAAAAAAGTTGGCACTGCGCATGCGCAAAACCAAATTTTGAAATTGGCGTTTGATTTTCCTTTATCCCAAGTGCCTATGTATAAAAGGGCCTTCCTTATTTTTTGGACTACATTGCCAATTCACGAACTCCGATCTACACGTACATTTTGGAAATATGCTGCTTCGGGTATAAAAATAAGAAAAGGGCACTGTGAATTTTGAATCGATTCGACTCAAGTTTTGGCATTGCATATTATATGGCTAAGGCTATGTCCATATTGAATTTCATGCAATTCAGTTCATAACTAACGAAGATGTAAAAGCGATCGGACATTTCTAAACAAAGTTATCGTTCACACGGACAGATAGATGGACAGACAGACAAAGGAACAGACGGACAGATAGCAATGCAAATTATAAACGATCTCTAGGATCGTTAATAAACGGCAAAAGTGTAAAATTATGGGTAAAAAACGCATGTACGCACAGCCAATGTGTTAATAGAGTTACTAATTGTTTAGATAGGTTTCGTTTAAAGAAGGCACTCTAATTGCGAGGTTAAGTTGCATTAATGAACAGACGCATTTTAATTAAAGGTAATGTAATTTTCCACAACATTATGGATGTAATTTCAATTTACTTAATTGCATTAAAAGTGAAATGCGTATATCGAAGAATTAAGAAGAATCCATTTCAGGGATTAAATTTTGCAATTACCATAATTTGGTTTTTACAAGCCGCACACGGAATTTCCAGTAAAATAAAGTGGTGCGACTAGAAACCGTTTATAAGAGTTTCGCACCAATTTTGCAATATTGATCCAACCTAGCGGACGGTTTGGTATGGAACGTTCTTGTCATTCCACTTCTAATCTCATGAAGCGTTCAATATATTTCTTAGATAATTCCTAACAATGAAACAATCAGAAAGAGTCAGCTGTGAATTTGTAAATCGTGACACTGTCACCAATAAATTATCCAAAAAGAATTTTATAAGTGCCTCCACGCGGTATAAATTCTACATATAAAGCGTTACAAAACACTTATAAGCCAATCAAATTTTAACAGTATTTATATTCTATTTGGAAACAACAGATTGACGTTTAAACATTTATATAAACAGCTTTGATCTTCGAATGTAAATATTCAAAGGGTTGGTTTAGCTTTTAGGTATAGAAGTTCTTGTTTTTATTCAAATTCGCTTTAATAAAAACCAATAACTTCACCGTATTAGGGTTATACAATCACCAAATTTCCACTTATAGAAGTTTGCCATACTTAGTGAAAGCAGGAGTGGCACTGAAGGAGATTCAAGTAACCGATATGTTTTCGGCAAGTGTGTGATCATTTTATTATCTGCGTAGTTTTTAGAATGAAGAATGAATAATAAAATTGC